AATAAATAAAAAGATTAGGAAGGTTTCACTACATAGGTGATTTTTGAACAAAGTCTTCAAGGAAGAAGCAAGGCACTGATAATTGGGGGTCAGAGGCCAGAGCTTAGCAAAGCAAACACTTGAGGGAGGAGTGTATCTGTTAGTGCGAAGGTCAGTAAGAATCCAACAGAGACAAAATGGAGAGGATGCGAAGAATAGCGGGTGAAAGCTTGATCAGAGTGAGAGGAGGAAGAACAGGAAGAAAGGATTTAGAAACTGAGCAAAGACAATTCGTGAGGAACAGAGAAATCAGGAGTGGCCAAGAGCAAGGAGTAGCCAAGAGAGGGTTTTCTCTGATTGCTTCTTCCAGGGAAGAGCAGAAACAGGCTGCTTATTTCCTGGTAGCGATGCTCCAGGAGAGGGAAGGGATGTGGATGATCCGGGAGAGAAGGACATTGAGGAGTAAGTGGACATTGTGAGGAGAGGATGAGAACCTGAGCACAGGGAGTGGCTGGCCTTAGACAGAAGCAGATGATTCATCTATAGAAAAAAGACAAAAGGCAAAGTATATGGGTGCAGATGCTTTTAGGTGGGGGCCTATGGTAGTGGGGGGCTGTGGAAATTTTCTGATGGATTTCCTTTTCTCCAGGAAATAGGATGCAAGGTCATTAGCTAAGAACAAGTCTGGGAGCAGGGGCTGGAGAACCTGCCTTAAGAATATTTTTCACCACATCCTACTTGTATATATGGATTGTGCTTGGTATTTCTGCTTAAACATATGGAAATATCTTATGTACATACTCTTGCCAAAGCAGTATTACTCATCTTTGGTTAGAATTAGCTTGGAAAGTAAACTGCACAAGTAATGAATTTTGAAATATAAATTAATACAGAGTGAAAACCTCCTCTGCTCCCATTTGTATTGCAAATTTACTCTTTCAAAATTAGTTCATGCTCTGAATGTCACTGAGAAATTTAGTGGATCACAGATGTGCACCCCAGAAGTGGGTTTCCAACTGTAATTTAATTGAAAGGGTCATAACTAAGTTTCACCATATGGGGCTGCCAGATGTAATCAATGCAATGTAAGTTTGAAGAAGACATTATTGAGTGTGTCGAAGCACATTTTATAAGCAATACAAGCTATTATTTATGCAGCAGAAATCACTTTAATGTATTATGAAATTAGAACATCAGTAGACTATACAAATGCTCGAGGGTTAATACAGAATAAGTAATTCTGGTTGAATGATAACATAATATTTAAAGACACACATGAGTCATATAATAAAGGTATTACTCACCACTCCTTCACCCTACTACATAAGTCAAATCCGTAAGGCTAATATGGCTTAAAGTTTTAATAGAAATGTAGTCGATGATATCTTTGAAAAATGACACAGTTGGGAATTTAGTTTCATTAACAGAGAATGTGGGCAAATTTCTTAGCCAGAAAGTAGAGGCCCGTAAAATTTTTAACCTGGGGTCAGTTAACAGTTTAACACACTGAAATTGCCATTACTGAACTTTTGACTTGTTATTTGGATTCTTCAAGTCTCAAAGCTGTTGAAACTCAGTGCCTAGTCTTGCAATGGATAAACTTTATAACAAAAACCAGTGATCCCAAAAGTCTATTATTCGAATGTTTGAAGTCAGGCTCAGAACAAAAGATCACACCTGAATAAACCATATAAGAGGCACTGTTTACTCCCCATCGAGGTCAGGCTGAAGAGGGCTGTTGCACAAGCAGAACTGTGCATCAGGAGTAACCATTGTGCTGGTATTAAATCTTGCTCAAATACAGATGTATACATTCCATATGCCACCAAACAATGTGCACTTCAAAACTGAAGATCTGAGACTACCACCCCACAGAGAATAGTCATCTGGTCTTACTATCCTTGACAGTAATTTATTTGCAGAATAAATTACAGGTATTTGCAGAATTGTGATGAATGAATCTTAAGTGTTTATGCCTTAAATCCCCATCACATTGAACTCATCCCACTCACATAACCCAGACACATGTGAAACCAATAAAGGAAAGGCAAATAGATATTTTGAATTATGTGATCTTTGGCCAGACTAGTAAAATTCAGGAGAGCTATTGCACTAAAATAATCCATAGGGTTTCAGCAGGTTAAGACCATACACACACATACACACAAACACAGACTTGGAGCCAGGTTAACAGAACTAAGAAAACTCTTGCTGACAGCTCACGCACTTGAGCTGAAGCAGTATGTTCAACTCAGGGACACAGTGTGAGTATCAGAGGCCACACGTTTTCTCTGCTCAGTTGCCTTCTGCTTTCCTGTGCCTGAACAGCATGTGGTGCTCAGAGTCCCAAAGCCAGGCAGGCACATCTTCTCTTGAGATTAGTTACCAGCCAGAGGCTGGCCCTTCCCCTACCAGAATCACTGAACGTTGGTAAGATCCAATTGATGGCACCACACAGAGGAACTGATGGGAGCAGCCAGCTGAACCACAAAGACACAGGCAGCAAGACTAATTTAAGCTTGCTAGTGAAGCAGAATTTAAGTAGATTCTAAAACAATCCCCAACACATAGTAAATGTGAAGAAATTAGTTTGTATGTTTAAACAGCAGCCTGTAAGTGGCCTTTCCCTGATGGATGGGCACTAAGTGTTTACAGGGAAATAATAAAAGGAGACCTCAACGATGCTGGGCTTCAAGAGCAATTCTGTTGTACTCTTGCTACCATTTTTAGAGGCTGAGTTACAACCTTCTCTATTTAGAAGGAAATGCCTGACCTTTGTCACCTGGATACTTCTGGTACTCTTTCAAAACTCACCTCATTGAGGGCAGTGCCCCCAAAGTCATTTCCATTTGTGTATGGATGGTTCTCAGTGCAGTATCTTGCCTAGAAGATTCTAAACAAATGTTTGCCACAAAATAAAAGAAAACAGAGAAATAGCTACATATATGGAATACAAATGAAAACTGCACTAAGAGTAAGAAGAGTTGATCTTGAGTTCCAACTCCACCACTCACTAAATGATAGTTTTTGCTGGAGTCCTGGTTCTAAGTCTGTAAAATGGGAATACTAATGCCGTCTCCATCCTTCTTGTGAAGTAGTTATGAGAATGCAGGGGCCATAGTGAGGAAAACATAATCTAACAACACATGGCTCCGCAATGCCTTGGGCGAATCATGGGCCGGCACCTACTTCCAGTGTCCAGTGTGGATCACAGTAACTTCCCTGTCTCTTCTTAGGCTTCTTTTGTCCAGGGCCACTCAAACATAAAAAGGGTTATGGGCTTTTTATTTATTTTAAAAAATATTCTAAATTTTAATTCTGAAATAATCTTAGACTTACAAAGAAGTTGAAAAAAGTATGCTTATCTACCCTTCACCTGGTTTCCCCAAGCATTAACATCTTAATTACACCCGATGTGGAATTGTCAGAATCAATAAACTAACATTGAGATAATACTATTAACTGATCCATAGACATTATTCAAATTTGTCCAGTTTTTACACTAATGCTCCTTTCTGGTCCTGGATTCTATCCCGGACCCCATATTGCATTGAGTTGTCCTGCCCCCTCAGTCTCCTGCTATGTTAAAAAAAAAAAAATGATCTTGTGGGTGGATACTTTAAGACTACGTAAATAGCTTTTTCTCATTATACTTTTGGCCACTAATTTTAACATTCCTTGATTATTCTTACCTGCAACAATTAACATCATGTTTTGCTGAATGGTGATTCTTATTGCATCATTCTTACTACATTCATCAATTGGAATTCTACTGTAAGGAAGACCTATCCTTTCTCATTTGTTGATTAATTAACATTATTTGTTTCTATGACCATTAATTCATAGGTATTTATTTTATTCTATGAATTACAGTCCATTTGCCCTCCTTATTTTATTTTTCAAATTATCCTAGATTTGCTATGACCTTTTTAGACAGTTCAACTCACACAGATCAATGCCTTACTAAAAAATCAATCCCTCTACCCCGTAAGAAATGTCTGTTTAGATGTGTGGCATATGAAAAAAATTAAAATGTATAGCTGGAGAAGAAAAAATTGTCTGGGGGTTCAAGGACACAGGATACTGGATCCGGACATTGGCAGCTCCATATGAAGATGAAAGACCTATAAGGAGAGAGAAGCTCAGGGTGCTGAATACCCCGGCATTTATACTCTAGCTGGAGATTTGGCCATCTGGCAATTGGCAAGAAGGGCATTTACAGATATGTATATTCCTGGTTAATTTGAATATACAGAGGCCAGTGAGAAGTATGAGATCAATAACTATATCTTATGAGGGGGCTGTGTGTGTGAGAGAGAGAGAGAGAGGGAGGGAGCGAGAGACAGAGAGGAAGGGAGGGAGAGATAGGGGGGGAGGGAGTGAGAGACAGAAGTCATTAGAGTTTAGACTGCTTTAATGAGTGAGAACTTCGAAAACACATAAAATCAATCTTGAGTATGATTTGTATAACACATATCCCTGTGCAACAGACAGATGATCATGTTTGTTCATAAAATCACTTATGAATTCATCACACAGACTCGTACTTTGAATGTTTAATATATCCCCAGCATTGTGCAAATACCATGGATATGAGCAACAATTAAACTCTATCTTTAGTGATCTTGCAGTATGGTGGAACTGAGTTCTTTTCAAAAAGCTGGAATGTTACAGATGGTCTAGAAAAAGCCCCGGGCTTCATCAGTAAAATGGCAGGGTGGTCTTTGATCTTTAAGATTCTTTCCAGCACTAAAGTCATTTGATACTGATTCACTAACTTGATTGTTTAAAAATTGCTGTTGTGTCTTTCTCTGAAACTATCCTAATCAGTAATAGATGCACTTTTCTCTGTAATAAGCCCTTTGTAGCTGCTTAAATATGGAATCTCACAGAACTCATTCCCTACAGGTGGAAAAACTTATTTACATACAGTCACCAACTCTATTTTTCACACAGTGACTTAGACTCATGACATATTGAAGACTCAGCTGAGATTCAGAAAACATTATTATTATTTTTTATCTTATGTCTCCTCAGGAAAACATAGCACGGTTGGATATCTATTACATCCTATGGGGAACTTCAATCTTAGTTCACAGCATTAAGAGCTCCTGGTTTTGGTCCCATAAGCTCTCTTGGAAATGACCTATCAGAATAGGTTATTTTTAAAGTCAGAGGCAAAGTGTTGGTTGCACATTACAGTCACTTTGGTTTTTCTTTTTGGCTTCTTTTGATTAATGGAAATCAAATAACTAATCTAAATAATTGTAGTGGTGGATAATTTCACTGCTATGATGGCCACATTAATAACAACGGGAATATGCCTGTATCTACATCTTCCAAAATGCCTTATCCTATGACTGATGGACAGATATTCTTATTTGGAAGTTTAATTAAGAAAATAATTTTAGGAAATCAGTAACACCTACTTGTTTAAATAGTTAATAATGTAGACTTTAGGTATATTAATCTAAACCTAACCTATTTCATTAGTACTAGAATCTCAGAAATTACAGAGAAGTGAAAAACAGATTAAAAACCAAGTACTTAAAAAAAAAGAGTCTTTATGCTATAATATCAAATTCACATTTTATATTTACTGAAATTTCAAGTATGAACAGTCAGTGATGTTGGTCTACATTTTGTAAGGTTCCACTACTAACCACAGGCTGCTAATGGTTACTTCTTTCCTAACTCCTTAACCTAAAACAATAGATGTTTTTACAAAGCATAGCCATACTACAATGAGCTTGTTTGAAGGAGTCTAAGACTATCACGTTATTTTTTTTAAAACAAGAACTGATTTTTCATTTGTTAATTTATTTAAAATTATTGAATCTACCAAGTAGATTCTTCATTAGGTAGTGCTTCCAAACTCTCATATTGAAATGTATCATGGATTAAAATGTATCATGTTTCCCCTACAGATATACATACGGTAGATGTGGAGTTACATGTGTAATGCTTATACTGAGAGACAAGACCCAGTAACCTGTTAGGAGAGTTGAAAGACTAAAGTAAAAGTGAAGAGTTGGATTTTCTTAAATGAATATGTTTTGGAAACAGTTCATCAGTTCAGACAACAGAATGGCTCCCTGAGCTGCCTGGGGATACAGGGGAAAGTTATCAAAGCTGATGGTGAACAGCAGGAAAGGAAGAAAAGGATTCAGGGTGACCAACAAGGTGGTCAGTGCTGATGGGAATCGAGCCAGCAAGCAGCTACTGGGGCTGCAGAAGAGAGGAACCAGGCCAGGTTAACCCTGAACCTGACAGAGGGCCTGCAGACCTCCAATGAAAAACTAAGAGATCCTTAAGTGGAAGAAAACTAAGGAATTTAGTTGATCAAATCTGGGAGCATTATAGAGTAGCAGCTTGAAAATGAGATATGCCATAACTAAACAAATACTGAGGGTCTGTCCAGTTAACTTCCCTTCTTGAACACAGCTCTACCAGAAATAGTTTTATTTTATTTTTTTAATGATTGTTTATTTTTAGAGAGAGGGGAAGGGAGAAAGAGAGGGAGAAAAACATTGATATGAGAAAGAAACACTGATTAAGTACCTCTGGCAACGCTTCCAACTGGGGACGGGGCCTGCAACCCAGGCATGTGCCCTAACTGGGAATTGAACCGGTGACCTTTCACTTTGTGGGATGACGCCCAACCAACTGAGCCATGCTGGCCAGTGCAGTAGTTTTACTTCTGGCAGGTTACTCTGGTGAGTGACATTCCCAGTGTGTCCCAAAGATGTATAAATTCTGAATTTGTACCATGGATTTCCTTAAGGCCAGGTTATAAACCTTAATATTATTCTATGTTGACATTTAAAATATTCAAATTGAGTAGTGTCCTTGCAGTATAGAAGACAGAGCTTCATGCTAGAAACTGCAACTTATGAGAAAATATATGCCCCATAGAAGCAAGGCACTTAGAACTGCTTAAATATTTCAATTGCATAAATGATCCAAGTGCTTGTAAACATTTTACAATTACAGACCAGTAGAGGGCTTTAAGAGGCACTTTCATCTACTTCAATTGCTGAATTGGTGTCTCTGTAGCCCAAGGTCCGGCTGTAATGTGTGGTTCCATCGGTTGATAGATTCTCACTTCTCCTGTTTCTGGGATTTGTGGACATCCTGTGGTGATTCTAACCCTCATCCCTTTCTCCCTTCTGGATTTCATGCCTAATTAACTGGTAGAAAAATGACTGCAGAGCTCACAAATTCTTAAACTGAGATAAAACAAAGGTAAATGTGGCATAACTGAGTCTCTTCCAACCACAGTCATTAGGAATATAAATATTTCCCTTGAAAAAGGAGCTTGAAGTAAGATTAACACTTGATTTTGGAGAGTAAGAAACCTACTCCCTCTGCCTTTTTCTTTCTTTTTTTAATTTAATTTTGGGCTAGCAATTGTATTTAGAATTAAATACAAAGTAATATATCTGGAGGAACACTCTACAAGCACCGATTATTTTTTACCAACACAAAGACAGTGGCATCACTGTATAATCATTGCAGTTTTATTTATATATATATATTTATTTTTTGCCTAACAACATTTACAGTCCCCTGAAATAGATCCAACAACATTTATCAGTTATTATTCCAGTAACAGTGGTTGTAGGAAAGATTCAGGCACGTGTTTCTCAGCCTTTTCCTCAGCACATCTGAGGAATATATTTAAAAATAGCCGCTCTGGAGATTCCTGTCGGTGGAGAAAGAGCAAAGGGCCCTGGGTCCTATCTAGACTCTTGGTCTTTTGGGTGCAACACAAACCAAGTGAGGGAGGCGGGAGAAAAGGCCCTGAATCCCTACAGGATTAATTTATTTGAAAAGGAAATAATAATAAAAAAATACTCAACGTGCTAAAGTCTTGTGAGGACAATGAAGGAAAATCACAAAACATGCACAAGTCCATGAAAGATGGCCCTTCAGAAGAGGTACTCCAGGAGGTGGAAGGAAATCCTCAACCTGCGGAAGAAGGCATAAGGCAGGAAGCAGAAGCAAACCTCAAAAGCTGGCTGACTCGGCCTGTCCAGGGATATAAGAGGGCACTCCCTGAGTAAATGCTAAGAGGAGTAAATGAGTTGGAAGGGCTTAGGGAAAAAATAGGAAGAGCAAGAAACATGTTTGATGCCTTCGAAGCAAAGACATCCAGGCAGATGTCCTTATTATGTTTGCTTTAGGCCTTGAATTTTGATGGTTTTTTTTTTTTTTTTTTTGGTCTGATAATAAAATCTGGTCCCAGCTTTCTTTCTGTTAGCATTTTCTGGTGTATCCTTTACCTTCATTTCACTTTTAATCATCTGAGGGAATTTTGTTATAGTTTCCTTATTACCAGCATCTTACTGGACTTTTGTATTTTGACCCATTCTCAGGGTCTATTTTTCAATAAGGAAGTTTCACACATATACATGAAATATGTTCATTCCATAATGTAAGGTAGAACATACCAAGCTACAAAGCAGCATATTTAGTATCAGCTCACGTATCAATCCCAAATTGTGTGTGTGCATGTGCATGTGTATACATATGAACATCAAAAATTTAACTGTGCTTATTTCTGTGTGGTGTGAGTTTTCTTTTTTGCTTATACATATTTTTTTAATTAACAGAATTAATTTTTTTTTTAAGACTCAAAATTTGCAACCAGTTTATGAGGGCAATGGGACACCTAAAAACTCTTGATGAAGTAACTATTCAAATGTAAACCCTAAATCACCTCTGGATCTCTTAGCCAGGAGAATAAACCTGGCAATTATTACAAATAAAAAATAAATAAATAAAAATAGCCACTCTGTAGTAGGCAGTGCAGGAGAGGAACAGGTTTAGGTAGTTTACAAAAGCTTGCAGAGGTACCCTAGTGCAGGCGCCGCCCTGCGCCCCACCCCCACCCCCTTCTCAGTCTTTGTGGGGCCCAGAGCTTTTAAGAATCACTGGTGTAAAACAAACAAACAAACAAACAAACAAATAAATAAAAACTACATTTTGAAAAAGCCATTATGGTTTCCGGCATCTATTGAGTACCTGCTATGCACTAAGCACTTTCTATGTTTTCTTTTATCAAACCCCTCAGAGTGTCATGAGAAAAGAACTTTGCAAGAGGAAACAAGTTCATCCACTCAGCAAGTATATTTATTAAGCATGTACTATACACCAAGCGCTTTTCTAGGCATTGGTGATACAGTAGTGAACAAAATAAATGAAGTATCTGCTTTCAAAAGCTCATAATCTAAGGGCTCAGAAAAGTCAACTCACACGAAAGGAAGAGGACATGTGAGACCAGCCTGTGTTCCTTGTTCTACACACCCTGCTATCAGGAGCCCCTCAGCGTCACATCCTTTTCTGAACAATCTGGTTTTCTTCAAGCCCCAACATACAAGATAGACGGTTTTTCCCTTAAAGCAGATAGCATCCAGCAGGTCCTGGGCTCTGGACACAGAGTGATGAGAACAGCAAGCAAGGGACCTGCCTTATGGAGCTTAATCAACCCAATAAACACATGAGTATCTAACTGTAAACTGTGTTTAAATGCAATGAAGAAAGCATAATAATGTGCTATATGAAAGAACCACAGGGGCGTACTTTAGACTGGGGAGGGGATCAGGGAAGGCTTCTTTGAGCAAGTGTATTTATGCTGAGAGCTGAAGGATAAATGAGTTAAGGAGGGAAGCAGTTATTTCAGACACAGGGAAAAATGAAGGCCCAAGGGCAGGAAACAGACTTAAGAACAGGAGGCGCTGAAAGAAATCAGTGAACAAAAGGGAAAGAGGAGGCTGGGTTAAGTAGGTAGGGGGCAGATCATACAGGGTTACGGAGGAAGCAAGGATGTTGCATATTCTCCTCCATGCAGAACATTTAACAAGCTATTTACAGAATGGGTTATAGGGAAATTAGACTAAAAGCCTAAGGACAAATTAGACGGTTATTGCAACCACCTAGGTGAAAGGAGATAATGGCTGGATTAAGGTGGCTGTAATGGAGACAGAAAAGAAGTAAATAGATTGTGGATATTCTTGTTGAACAGAACCACCGAACAGAACACAGGTAATGGAAACAGTGAGTCAGGAGGACACCCAGGTTTCTCCTGCACCACTGGGTGCGTGGGGGTGTCCTCCACTGAGATGGGGACCAGGAATTTTGTTTTG